AGTGGCTTTTGAGGCTGAAAGGCAGTATTGGTCTGGGATATATCTTCTACATGCTGTTCAATGTCATTCAGCAAGAGATAGAATCAGCTGATGCTGACTTTGAAGAAGTATGATTTCAAATCCCTCACACCTTGAATTGCCTGAAGCCTTGTGAGCCATCCTTTGCTCCTAAGGCAGCATGTCAGATGGTAAAATACTGCCAGGAGATGACAACTATGTTAAGCCATTATTACCATTAGATAAGGAAAAAAATCACTTCAATGGTTCACTCAAAGGCTAATGCAGATTTGTGGTACTTGCATTGGACAGAGAAAGAACTGATGTGCCCATTCTCTCTGGGAGATGAGACACCTCACAGCCAGGAGCATTTGCAGGCTGAAGGCTGCCAGAGTCTGTCATCACTTGGTGAACAAACATCATACACTTGACTGAAACTAATCAAATTGGTGTTGGCATCCTCTAGGTGTCCCTAATTCCTATTTGTAGTTTTCTGATTGTCATCATATCAGCAGCCTGCAGCCTGTTGATCCTTCCTTGAAATGCTGGCATTGATTAGACATTCTTCAAAAACCATCACATCAGTAACAGCGACAGAGACAGGGCTTTGCTTTGCAGTAAGCTTAAGCCATGCTCCATCTTGCATAAGGGTGCCTCTTCCAGAGGAGCTGCTAGCCTGAGCAGGCTGAGCTGGCCACAGCTGGAAACAGAGGACCCCAGGTCACTCCAATCCCCCTCAGAGAAACAGGCTCTGGGTATACTCCCCCCACATGCCACCACTGGCCCTGAGAGGAAAGCTGTGTGTGCTTAGCCCCATAGAGCGTCCAGCTGAACTCACTGGAGTATCTGGCCTGCCCATCATCCCCTAAGGAGTCTAAGGAGGATCACCTGGGGAACCAAGGTTTTCTGCAAGGCTTTGCTTTGCCCTTGTTGTAGTCTGGCAAACGTGGATTTTTTTATTGCCTGGCTGCAGCTGGGATTGTTAAGACAACATGTCCAACAGCTGCTGCAAGGTAGACTGGAGTGTATTAGTTGAGTAGTGTCATCTGCGGAGCAGTGAGCTGTGCCAGCAGGTGAAAACCACCTCCATAACTTCCTTGCCTTCCCATCAGTCAGTTTTCCCTCATAGAGGATCGTTTTGCCTTCTGCCCCATGGACCTTTTTGCTCTCCTGCTTAAAGACTTCTGCACAATTCAGTGCCTGTCACGCCTGCTGCTGTCTCCTCTGACAAGGCAGAGGGTTTTATAGTTTCTTCTCTGTTTACATTTCACAATGAAAACCTCAACATAAGACCTGTTGTTTTTAGCTCTGAATGGCTTCAGTTTGGTGCCTGGTACCATTTAAGGTTCTAGTAACCTGGGTAACCTGTGTTTTTGCTGCTAGACCTGAAATCTAACAGATGCAATGTGTGGCACACCTATCACACATGTACCCCTGGGGAGCCCCAGGTACGTGTAGAGAAAAAAGCTGTGGTGATATGTGGGCTCAGTGGGTCATTCTTCTGGGCTCCTGCAGCTCAGTCAGAGCCTATGGCTCTGCGAGCTGGGACACACATCTGCTTGGAGGTGGTGGATTCAGGGGATAAACTGTTTTTCAGTCCATTTCTCAGGCGTGCTGTAAATGCGTCTAGACAGGCAGTACTTGGATGGCTGCCTCGTACCTTGCAGGGGGGGCTGCTCTTCCCAGTGGGTTTTGCCAGCTCTCCTTCATCTCTGAAGGGTCTTAACTCTCCTCAGCTGCAGTAGAGATGCTTCCTGGTTGTTCTGTCTGCTGGCTCGTTTACAAATGGCATTCTACACAGGGGACCTGAG